GTCATAGATTTTGTTATTTCAAAATTGAATTTCATCCTTTTAATATCACTAAATTTGGCCAAATTATTTGTAACTATTTCAATTAAACTGCGTGTAGCTTCCATTAATGTATCAATCACTAATCCGTTGAATAACCATCCTGTATATCCACCTTTATTTGTTGATGAGATTGATGAACTTGAGTAACCTGTACCTATACAAAGTAAATGATAATTGACTCTTTTTTTCCATTGCATTCTTATTGCCCATAAGGCTGATAATTCTGGATCGTTGGCATACACACCACCATCAATAAATGTTTCATGACTACCATTTTCTTGAAATTCATTATTTTCCAGTGTTTTCCATTTGCACATTTCATGTGGTGGAAAATAAGTTGGTGCAGCCATTGTAGCCTTTAACACATCTGATATACGATATCTCAGAAATAGTTACAAATAATTTGACCAAATTTAGTGATATTAAAAGGATGAAATTCAATTTTGAAATAACAAAATCTATGACGTTAGATGATCCACTTTTTGTTACCATATTTGATAAAGAATGGGAAGAATTTTTAAAAAATGGAACCATTATAGGTGATCAATTATTAACAGATTCCGATGGTAAATTATTAACAGATTTTAATGCATTGATGCGATTTTATGAGAAATATATTTATCATGAAGAACAAAGTTAATTTGTAAAACTACTATTTCGATCCAAGGGTATTTCTTGTAAATAGTTGAGCGTTGTCAAGTTCAAATATTACATCCTCACCGTCTCCCACGAGCAGCTAGAGAGTTGCAGTTTTCATTTTATGAAAGAGTACACCTCAAAGATTATTCTTCAAACTCCGAACCACAGTAACGTCGTAAAGCTGAGCAGAGATATGTTATTCCCTTGACTGAAAGCATGCTGTGCTCTTTGTCCTTCCTGATGTATATGTCCGTCGTGTTCTTTTCTATTCTTCTTACGTCATGTTCTGAGCTGTACTACTAACGTCATTACTCTCTTCCATCTGTTTCTCGTATGTTCAACTATATGTAAATTTTATATATAAATAGCTGTGTTTTTAAGTGT